TAATTCCTATCAATATTTACCATATTAGCAATTAATTAAAACTGAGATTAGTATGTATTTGATTTGTATTTATTTTTGCATAGCTATAATAAACTCATACATATAAAAATTATTAAAAATGACTGTTTTCCAAAATAAAATGAGAAGTGACACTATTTTTACATTTAAAAGAAAATCTCTTTAATGTCTGATTTAATAGAATCTGCTGAATTTTATTTGCTTCATTTAATCCGTTTTGCTTGTTATTTGAAGCATATAAAGTAAAAGCTGACCTTGCCCAGATCTATACCTGGAAAAGCTGGGGAGGACCTCATGGACCCATAAAAGGCTCTCAGAGACCTCTAGAGGTCTTCAGACTGACCAAACACTGAGAACTGTTGACCTGGAAGAATGTAAAACAGGAAAACAGTGTCTCCCCCAATAGAATTTCATGTAACACTTGGGCTGTGTTACAAAGTCAAATGCGTGCAGCTGTCCTGCGTCTCCCGCTAGTCACGAGCTGAAGGCCAGAGACTCCCGGCTGTTCCCCAGCCTGGTAGTGAACCCGGAGGCCTGTCTCACTGTGGGGTGGGACAGGAAGCTGCATTTGGGAGTCTCATAGAACACACTGGAAGACGTGTATTAGCTTGGCCAGGTTCGTGCAGGACAGGTTTTCTGCATAAAGAAAATCAATGACAGTTTCTGAAATTGCACCCTGGAAGCCTTGACCAGTTTGGGTAATAACAAGAGATTTGAAAGTGTGGTGTGTACAGGTGTTTTGCTGAATCTAGGTAGTGGTGGTAATTGCTGTTATTTAGAATTCAATTCAGTTCTGTTTGTGAGTTCCAAATTTTGTGAAAATTAGTTGCTGGGACATAACTTTCCTTTGTTTCTGGAAGGCTGTCAGAATGCAAGATTTCCTGGCTCATATGCAGTGTTATAGTTGACAGAGGAATGGTTTTGCAAGGTTGCTCCTGTACCTTAAATGTAACTTGTTTTGCATTTGTGCTACAGAACTGTCATAAATGTACCCTTTTGTCCTCTTGTTTGGAAACTGGGATTTTATAATGTGTGTGGTGTATCTGAAGATTATTGCCCATTATTGAACACCATTCATAGCAAACATTAGCATCAGGCATGGTACATGTACTCCCCACTCTGCAAACTATGGGTTCTGTGCCCCTCCCCTCTTTTTTTCTGAGACGGAGTCTCACTCTGTTGCCAGGCTGGAGTGCTGTGGTGCGATCTCAGCTCACTGCAACCTCCGCCTCCCAGGTTCAAGCGATTCTCCTCCCTCAGCCTCCTCAGTCGCTGGGACTACAGGCACGTGCCACCACACTCAGCTAATTTTTATATTTTTAGTAGAGACAGGGTCTCACCATGTTGGCCAGGATGGTCTTGATCTTTTGACCTTGTGGTCCACCCGCCTCAGCCTCCCAGAGTGCTAGGATTACAGGCGTGAGCCACCAAGTCCGGCCAGGTTCTGCTCATTTTTTAAAAGAGGAAGCTAAGGTTCAGGGAAGCTAAGTAGTCCATTCTGAGCTGCACATGCCAGAGGCCATTTTGTACTTACCTCAAATACCATTGAAATAAATGCACATCAGAGAGTTGTTCTTAGCAGAAGGGGCGCTACATGTAATGTTTTACTAGCAAAATGAATGATGTTCAAGCACTGTGGTTGATGAGAAAGGTGTCCAGCCCCTGGCACCAGCAACTCTGGAGCCGCACTTGAGGCCAGTGCCTGTTGGTCCTGGGTCCCCACACTTGATCTGTGTCACCTGACTGTGGGCGGCCTGGCTCTGCTGTCCGATTGCCACAGTGCCCTCCTCTGGTTGAACCTTTCTCGAGAAGTGCTTGTTGGAGGCCTGAGTGCAGAGCATGCGAGAGGCCCTGTGTGGTTTCTGTCACGTGTCAGCTTGCTCATAAAGGTCATAAGTTTGGCAGAATTTGGCCCAAGGTTTGCTTTCTCATAACGTACCACTTGATAGCAAGGCCGGGAGGAAGGTGGCTCTGGCTATTTCTGGAAGCTGCTTAGGGGGCTGCCTCCCCTTAAATTGGTACATAATTTGCAGGGCCTATTGCAAGATGAAAATGGAGAACTCCTTGTTGAAAGATTATTAGGAATTTCAAGGCAGAGATAGCAAAGCATGAAGCCTTGTGTGAGGTCCTTGTAAGCACAGAGCCAGTGACTGCGCAGAACACACACCCATGAAACCAGCCCTGCCCCCACAATCTGACCGCTCTTTTTTTGTTGTTGTTGTTGAGATGGAGTTTCACTCTTGTTGCCCAGGCTGGGGTGCAGTGGTGTGATCTCGGCTCACTGCAACCTCCATCTCCTGGGTTCAAGTGATTCTCCTGCCTCAGCCTCCCAAGTAGCTGGGATTACAAACATGTGCCACCACACCTGGCTAATTTTGTATTTTTTAGTAGAGACGGGGTTTCTCCATATTGGCCAGACTGGTCTTGAACTCCCAACCTCAGGTGATCCGCCCACCTCAGCCTCCCAAAGTTCTAGAATTACAGGCGTGTGCTACCGCTCCTGGCCTCTGACCACTCTTAAGTGGCCAGTTAGCACAGGTCACTCCCCAGCCTGCCAGGCCCACCCTCTTAAGGATGTTTTGAGGCTTAAATACGAAATAGCCACGCTACAAGCAGGGTCAATTAGCGTGAGCTCTGGTTTCTGTGGGAGGTAGTTAGCTAACATGAGAGGGTATGTGATTGGCTAAAACGGTAACACTGACAGATTAAATTCAAAATAACTAAACTTTCCCTGTGTTTCTTTATGCCTCATGACTCCTGCATATTCCGCTACCAGCACCTATTTGATCCCAGAGGGGAGGGGGTGCATTCAGGATGAGACAGGAGCATCAGCAAAAATGCAGAGGTGGGGAAGCCCTCCGTCTTCTTGGAAGCTGAGCCTGCAAGGGGAATGGAATGAAAGAGATTGTGGATATATTTGAGACTATGAGGAAATCCATACACTGGTGTTGCCAAGTACAGAAGCCACCTGTGGCTGTTGAGCCCTTGAGATGTGGCTACTCCAAACTGAGATGTGCTGTCAGTATAAAAATACACTGGATTTCAAAGACCTGGCATGAAAAAAGAATGCATAATGTCTTAGCATTTTTACGTTGATTAATGCTGAAGTAATAATATTTTGTATGTGTTGGGCTAAACAAAATATCTAATTAAAATTAACTTCACCTGTTACTTTCTAATGTAGCTGCTAGAAACTGTTAAATCCTGCGTGGGGGTCGAATTCCAGTTCAGTTCCACCTGCTGCTACCAATTGCTCTACTTGCATACACAAAGACAGACAGACAGACACACACACACACACACACACACACACACCCCCACCCACCCAGAGGAGTCAGAGACCCAGGAGCCCATGCTTCTAGTACCTGGGCTAAGCCCCAGAGTAGAAGATAAAGCTGGGAAGTTGGGTGGGGAGGTGAGTGCACGGAGCTCCAGGCTAACAGAATGAATTTGTTCTTTGAGCACTGGAGAGCTATTGATTGCTTACTAGCAGCAAGGGGACTTGTGCAGGGTATATCTGGGGAAGATTTGTTGGGAAAGAGGTAGAGGATGCAAGAAGTGAATACAGAATGAGAAATCAGGACAATAATTAGGAGACTGTTGCCTTCCTCTTGAATCAAGTTCAGATAAACACATCTGGACTGATTTATAAAGTCTTTCTCAGGAAGCTGAGGAAGAGCCCATGAATGTATGTTCCTCTCTGTGCTGAGACCAATAATTGCAATGAACAATTAACATGTGGCCTAGACGCACCTTTGACCGTGGCTGCTCCAAGCAGGTTCACAGTTCTCACCTGGGTCCAAGCTTGGCCCTGGCTGCCAGCTGCCTGCCTCCAGACCTGTCTTCTCTTAATCGGTTCAAGTACTTTTCTGCTCCCTGGAAACAGGCGCTCCCGTCAGTCACGTTCCAGAGGAGGGGGAAGAGGAACTTGACAAGTATCAGCCACAAAAGCCTCCTGGACAAAAGAAATCTTTTAAGCCTTATTTGAATACCAGCTTTTTGTGAAAATAATCACAATGTTGAGAGCTTTTTTTTTTTTTTTTTTTAACTTTTTGGAAGGTAACTTTTGTGTAAAAGAAAACACCTGCTGCTCCTCAGGCTGTTTCAAAACACTGCCTATGGTTTGAAAGTGCAGAGATCTGCGTGTGGTGTGCAGCATTTACAGGCATAATATGTGAGTCTGGGAAAAACAGATTCAGGGAGTGTTTGCAGCAAGGCAAGGCCTTTTAGCTGCATTTAGATGCTGCTGAGATTGGGGTGGGCGTGAGATGTGGGGTGGAGAGGAAGAGCTGTGTGCGTTCCTCTTGAGTGTAGAAGTTTTATCCAGAGGATTAACAGTTTTCTTGAGATAGAGTTTCGCTCTTGTTGCCCAGGCTGGAGTGCAATGGTACGATCTCAGCTCACTGCAACCTCCACTTCCCATGTTCAAGAGATTCTCCTGCCTCAACTTCCTAAGTAGCCGGAATTACAGGCGCCTGCCACCATGCCCAACTAATTTTTTTGTATTTTTAATAGTGACGGGGTTTCGCCATGTTGGGCAGGATGGTCTCGAACTCCTGACTTCGAGAGTTCGAGACCATCCTGCCCTCAGGTGATCCGCTCGCCCCGGCCTCCCAAAGTGCTAGGATTACAGAGATGAGCCACAGTTAGTAGTGCCCAGCCAACAGTTTTTTCTTTTTTTTTTTTAATTTGAAGTTCGGTTATTTCCAAGACTGAAGGTAGTTCTAATTTCTTTTACCTGTACCTCCACCAAAAAATAAATACATAAATAAACCATGAGTCATTGCTGATTTTTAATTGAAAATGTTATTCCAGGAACAACTGGTTGACATTGTCTGCAGAGGAGGTGGCAAAGACTGATTGATATTATGACCCAGCTTCTAGATATTTTTCTGCTTAATCTGAAGCACATTGGATTTCTGCTTCAATAGGCTTTCTTTTTTGGTTTTTATCACTATGACTAATACGTATTCTTTTCACAGGGCGAACGTTTCCTACACACCCGTACTTCTCTGCCCAGCTTGGAGCAGGACAGCTGTCACTTTACAACATTTTGAAGGCCTACTCACTTCTGGACCAGGAAGTAGGATATTGCCAAGGCCTCAGCTTTGTCGCAGGCATTTTGCTGCTTCATATGAGTGAGGAAGAGGCGTTTAAAATGCTCAAGTTTCTGATGTTTGACATGGGGCTGCGGAAACAGTATCGGCCAGACATGATTATTTTACAGGTAGAGAGCGTTCCTTATGTCTTTAATAGAACAAAATGCTAAGGATGTTTCTTATCCCTCTCCAGGTGTGCCGCAGAGCTCTTTCACCGTCAGGTAACAGTGTAATGTTGTAATGCTGATAAAGGACTCTGTGCTAGGTATTATTCCAAGCGTATCATCTGCACTTTCCTCTAATAACGTAATAGGAAGGCACTGTTCATCAGCTCAATATGTAGGTGGGAAAACTGAGGCTCCAAAGATTACTAAATTGGGCCCAGTCCCACAGCTAGCAAGTGTCAGAGCTGGAATGGAAACCCAGGCCCCTCTGACTCTAGGGCCCTCCCTTTGCCCCTATCAACCATCAGATGATGTCACTCCTACCTCCCAGCCTCTGCATCTGCTCTTCCTCTGCCTCACCGCACCCTCGTCATCTCTGGTTCAGCTCAAATATCACACCCTGGGAGAAGTTCATCTTGCCCACCCTGATGCTGTGTTCCCTACTTCCAGCCGGAGCACACTTCCAGCCGGGGTACCCCATAAGTATTTGTTGAATAAACAGTTTTGTCAGAGAAAACCAAACACAGCAGCGTATTCCAAATACCATGTGCTGCTCTTGCTGCCTTTCAGAGGGAAACCTCTGGATGCTGCTTCAGGAATATTCCTAATTGTTGCTTCAAATGTTGCAGCACGTGTTGATATGTCATTTACCAGTAAGATACTAGGCCTTCAGAGCCTTAGAAAGTATCCTGGGAGGGGGTACATTAGAGCCAAGGACTGACTTTGAGAGCACCACCTTTTGTGATTCAAAATCTTTTCACCTTGACCTGTGCACACGGACCACATGAACACAAATATCACAGACGGAAGTCAGCTCATGCACTGAAGGACTTTGACCACATAACGCTTTCCCCATGTACTCTGAGGGTCTTCCTACATTCCTGGTATTAACTTTAAGGGCAGCTGCCACTAGGCAGTGGAATTTTCGAGTTTTCTGTAATTTATGTAACACACAACTCTTTTGGGGCTTGTGGCTTTGGTTGATTAGACTGTCTTCTACACAGGAGAGCCACAGCTGGTGCTTATGGGATTATATTGTCTGAGCCTCTGAAAATGGTTTTGTTTTCTTTCTCTTAGTTTGGACAGGACACATCCAACTTGGTGCATCTCAGCAGGATTCTGACCCTCTGTAGGTCACTGTTTCTTCTTGAGTCTCAGGCCTCTATAAGGCCTGGAATGCTTGGTGGCTGGCATGAGCTTCCTGCCAGAATCATGCCATTTTCTGAAGTTTGAGTTCCACTTTAGTTGGAAAAAGTTGTGTTTTTTCCTCATCTTAAGATGTACACTTGTCTTCTTGTTTTAACTTGCCAGGGATCTGGATATTCCCTATGTTATACACCAAAAGAAATTATGCTTGTCCTGCCTATTGACAAGTAATTTCAGGGGTCCAGAGGGAATTTCCTAAGTAAACAAGTACAATGCACTGCTATGGAATCATAAGATGTCCCTAATTCAGTCTTAATAGAGAGACTGGCTTCTTATTTCTAATTCCTCCGGGCTTGAGTTTTTGTATTTGTAAGAGAATTTATGAAACATTTGCACAAGACAGATGTTTAGATCTTCTTAGCCAAGGCGTACAAGGGAACAATGAAAAGGAAGTGGTAGAAGAAGTCCCAGCGTTAGCGTCCTGGGCCTACACCCATCCAGTGCCTGGCAGCAGCGGGCACTCGGGAAGTACTTGTTGGAAGAATTAGTAGCTGAGGTCAGTGGATCACAAGCCAGAGAGAATGTTTAAAGTTCTAGTGAGTCTTCTCTTATGCCCACCCTGTAAGCAGTAGGTGTAACTTTTTCGCTGTGGCAGTTCCCTAATTCTCAGCCCCTGTGGCCGTCTTCCCACAGATCCAGATGTACCAGCTCTCGAGGCTGCTTCACGATTACCACAGAGATCTCTACAATCACTTGGAGGAGCACGAGATCGGCCCCAGCCTCTATGCCGCGCCCTGGTTCCTCACCGTGTTTGCCTCACAGTTCCCGCTGGGATTCGTAGCCAGAGTCTTTGGTGAGCATTAGTAAAGAACCAGCCTGCCCCTGTTAGAGGAGAGGCATTTCCTGTCTCTCCATTGTGATTCTTATTCTTATACCCACAGCTCTTAGCAGAACAGGGTATTGTTTGATAGTCTAAGATTAGTCAGGGGTGGGTTTTGTGACTTTGATAATCGCGGGGCTTCCCTCGATCCTTCATCCTGTGGGATGTAGATCTGAGTCCCTCACCAGGATGCCCTCCCTAGAGCAGACGTTTGGAGCCGCAGGTGTGTGCTTCTGATGAATCGCCTTCCTCAGCCACTCTGGGTTGTGAGTGCTCACCAATGCTGACCGTGGGCCTCTGGGCTACTGCCCTTTCTAGATTCCCTTGGCACCTCCTCCTGCTCTTGGCTCTACATTTTCTCCCAAGTCACTCTCTTGGAGACCAGTGTCAAGATCTCGAGTGACAACTCCGTGTCAATGGTGTGCCCTCCCCCCTCAGCCTTGACACCCATGGGCCTCCTGCCCTCATGCTGTGTCTCAGCCGCTGCTACCCCTGTGCCACCGCTGTTTACCTTGGGTGGTTCATGCATAAGACCTGCCTTTATATTCCCAATTCACTTTTTGAGAACGTTGTGAAAGTTAGGTGGGTGTTCGTACACAAAACTTTAACCTGCCTTGGGATGCAGGGATAGGGCCGTCCACGTGCACATTAGGAACCAAGTGGAAGGTGGTCAGCACGGTCAGTTCACGCACAGTTTGTTTTCCCTACTTCAGAATAAAAGTGATATTTTTGACAATTCAGGTTCTTTTTTTTATTGTAAAGGAGGAGGTTACAAAAAAATGATAGTTATTACAGATCAAGCATGTTTTCAAGCATCACTTGACAGCTTAAAAACGTGATCTTTAAAAAATTTGTTTTTAGGGTTAGAGAGCATCTTAAGGGAAATATTTAAAGACACTGAATGTACTACTTGAGGAATGCTCTGGGTAAACATCTTAAATATCCAAATTCTAGAAACCCTAAAATTTGCTTTTTAATGTAAGTGAGCATTTACTCTTCTGCTCTCTTTTCCTTTCACCCAAATACTAGATTTTTATTTTTTCCCATGTTGCTTTACTGGAAGAATTCATGTTCCTTATTTTCTGTCCCTAAAAATATAAAACCACTAAATTAAAATAGATACAAAAAGTTATCTCCTGGTTAAACATATCTTTAGTGAGATTTCATGAAGGTTTATAACATAGTTTAAAAAAAAAAAAGATAACAAATGGTGTGCTTAGTTTACTAACAAAAGAGTTACAGAAACTAAAATCTCAAGCTCCAGGCTTTAAGCTTTCCTGCCAATAACTTCTATGTTTTTGACTTTTCTAACCCTGGAAATTAAAAGAAAATGATTAGTCCACCTTCCTTACATTTTCTCCAGATTTTAGCTATGATTTTCATACAGGGTCATGAAGAGAAGCGGGGATGGAAATGGGGAGGAGGGAGCGCTGTTTGTTAATGGTTTGTAAACAGCTCAAGCATTAAATTACTTGGTTTGTGAAGAAAATTCTCCCAAGGCAACGGGGCTGACCACAGACTGGAGGGGGCTGCGGGGTCATCACTGAGTCATCTCTGCCCTGGGGCCACAGGCACTGGAGCTGCTGCTTGCAGAAAGTTCTGGGACTCTGGAAGAGAAATTTTTCCTTCGATTCATATGGGCAAAAAGACATTAAAAAACAAGCAAACTCCACTTTGGGAATGACAGCCCTTCTGTTGCAGAGTAATTCGAAGCTCTCTGAAGCTCACTCTAATGACTTAATAAATAAAGCCGCAGCCTGTAGAGGTAGGATATTTTTCTGTGGATTCTGTAGGCAGTGGTGAGACTAGGAGTCTCATAAACATTATGGTTAAAGATGCCAGTGTCTACATAATTCCTGGATCCCACAGACTCCTGCTGTGCTAAGTGCGTTGTTGTCCGGCTGGCCAAGGGCTCCTGGGATTGGAGGCAGGAAGTGGGATCTCAAGGCTGCACTGGGTTGTGATGTCACTTCGCAAAAACTGCTTTTACTTTTTTTTTTTTTTCATAGTCCATCTCATCTTTCAGTATTTATAAACAGAAAAGATAGGTTTTTACAAACCATGTCTATTTTTAGCATTGGTGACTTAGAGAATGGTGTATATTTTGCTCCATGATGCAGATAGCTTAGCTTTTTATTTCAAAGCCTGCCATTCAGGCACTACAGTATCTTTTTGGCCCAAGGCCCATTTCATTATAATCCTTTAAGTCTGAACAAACTCTAAAAACACATAGACCTTTGTTGACTGTTCACTAATATATATATATAAGTAAAATATTTCAGTTTGCACCAGCATAGCTCATATACGAGTTAATACATTACCTGGCATCAAGTATGTATCTGCCACTTGGAGGGGCAGCTGCCAGTGACGTGTGCGCCTGAACCTTCACACTGTCGTCACCCCTTGCTGGATGGCAGTCCTTCTGCCTGGTGTCACATAATGTCAGGAGCCCCTTCCTGTATTTTTCTAGTTGGAGTGCAGCAGGGCCCCGGGAGAGATGCTTGCTCTGTTCACTTTCTCATCACATGTACCTTTGGGGGGAAAAAAAATCTTAAAAAACAGGACCTGGCTTGCTTCTGATGGAGGAGGTGGCTGCAGCGTTTGGTCTCTGATGTTTTTCTATAGGATGTGCTGCCAAATAGATGAGGGAGGAGGTGGAGCATAAAAACGAAGGGTTTGGGCCCCGTGCGGTGGCCCACTCCTATAATCCCAGCACTTTGGGAGGCCAAGGTGGGTGGGTCATAAGGTCAGGAATTAAAGACCAGCCTGACCAACATGGTGAAACCCTGTCTCTACTAAAAATACAAAAATTGACCAGGCGTGGTGGCACGCACCTGTAGTCCCAGCTACTCGAGAGGCTGAGGCAGGAGAACCGCTTGAACCTGGGAGGTAGAGGTTGCAGTGAGCCAAGATCACACCACTGCACTCCAGCCTGGGCAACAGTGCGAGACTTTGTGTCAAAAAAATCCCGAAGCTGAACACACAAACAAACGAAAACTAAGGGTTTGGCAAAAAAACATAGAAGCCGCCTGCAGTATAGCAAAGGCTTCATGATGAGAACAGACTGAAAACACAATTGTTTCTGCGGCTAGGAAAATGTCTGGCTACTCAGGTAACATGATGCACGGTGATGATGAGCGTGTGTTCGGTCTGTTTGTGCTGTTGTTCTGCACAGCACTGTCATCAGCCTTCATCCTGCCACTTACGTTACTCCTAGAATGTGGGGGGAGCCACAGCCGGAGGGCCGCAGCTTCCAGGAGAAAGTTGAGAAGGCTCAGCCTTGACAGAGACAAAGGTGGCTGGGAAAGAGATGCAGTGTAAGCTCACAGAGGAAGATTGCGCTTTGACATCTGAGGAGTTTATTTTCTTTTTTTCTTTTTTTTTTTTTTGAGACAGAGTTTTGCTCTTGTTACCCAGGCTGGAGTGCAGTGGCGCGATCTCAGCTCACCGCAACCTCCGTGTCCTGGGTTCAGGCAATTCTCCTGCCTCAGCCTCCTGAGTAGCTGGGATTACAGGCACGCGCCACCATGCCCAGCTAATTTTTTGTATTTTTAGTAGAGACGGGGTTTCACCATGTTGACCAGGATGGTCTCGATCTCTTGACCTCGTGATCCACCCGCCTCGGCCTCCCAAAGTGCTGGGACTACAGGCTTGAGCCACCGCGCCTGGCCCGAGATCTGAGGAGTTTATTTTCAAATCGAGTTCCAATACACAGTAATACAATAAGAGGACTGCTGAAATGGCCTCAAAGAAAAGAAGTTCCTTTGTGTTGTTCTCTGTGAATACAGTGCTGAGTAGTAGAGTCAGCTGAATTCAAGATTCCTCTCTATTTCCTGCCTGATGAAACTTCTTGCCTGTTTCTAGGTGGCTAAAAGGAGAGGAGAGAAGGAAGAGGCCAAAGGAAAGTCCCACCGAAAGGACTTGGGCTGTAGTGTGGTGAGCTAGGCTGCTCTGCCGCACTGCACAGGGTGGCCCTGGCTGTTCACTTTCTCCCAGGGCAGTTTTCAAATGCAGGACATTGGGTCGCTTTTCCAAGGGGAGTTACTGCTTTAAAAAATAAAAAAGATTCCAGAATGTAAATGTATAAGGATATTGGAAGACGTTCTTCCAAATAATTGGTTTGGGGCAGTGGGTTTATAGGAAACATTTTTCCTCACTATTATTTTAAAATTAGATGTAATTTTTAAAATTCCAAAGCCAGAAAAAGGTACACATTCTCTAAAGGATGTCAGTGTTGCCCCCAAGTGTCATCAGAAAATTTAGGAGGCCCTTCCCTCCAAGCAGAGCTTCCTGTGGTCCTTCCTTCAACTGTTCAAGCACACTCCTGCATCGTGCACCCAAATCATCTCCCGATTTAAGACCTCCCCTGCCTCACAGAAGCTTCTGGGGCTGAGCTTTCTCAGGCCTTGGAGGGATGGGCGCTTTGAATGGGAGGAGTGGTGGTGAATGGAGCATCTCTGGCAGCAGGTATTTGGGAGTCCCTGGCATGAATCAATCAGCGTGGTCTCCAAAGGTGGCTTTTCTCTGTCTGACGCTAACTAGCCCTTGCAGGGACCATAGCCATAACCTGCATCTCATTAACGTCACCTCCTTACCAACCCACTGACATACTGAGAAAAGGAACAAAAAGCCTTCAGCGATTCCTACGGTGCTCTGAGGGAAGTTAGAATTGCTTGGCTTGGGCAGAGGCCCCGCTGAACTGGACTTGCCTGCCCATTTGCCCCCCTTCTGCCCTGCACAAGCAGAGCCCCTGCCTTGCCAGCCAGACTGTTTTTCAGGCTCCTACACACCTCTCTCTATTGACGGCCTCTTTTCCTTTTTTTTTTTTTTTCTTTTTGAGACGGTGCTCTGTTGCCAGGCAGGAGTACAGTGGCGCGATCTCAGCTCACTGCAACCTCTGCCTCCTGGGTTCAAGCAATTCTCCTGCCTCAGCCTCCCAAGTAGCTGGGACTACAGGCACATGCCACTGTGCTCAGCTAATTTTTGTATTTTTAGTAGACATGGGGTTTCACCATGTTGGCCAGGATGGTCTTGATCTCTTGACCTCGTGATCCACCCACCTCGGCCTCCCAAAGTGCTGGGATTACAAGCATCAGCCTTTTCCTTTTATTCACAGTATTAATCCCTGAGTTCTGACCTAGGAAGTTTTCACTGGTTCTTCATGCAGTCACCTTCTTGTGGGCTTTTTCTTTCCTCTTTGTTGTCGTAACCCTGGGCATAACTCTACCAAGCCAGAACTCCTTGGTGTCTCTGCAGCGTGTTTGTTGTCCTTTGCTCGTGGCTTAATCTCCAGTGCCTAATACAGTGCCTGGCATGTATTAGATGCCCAATGGATGCTCATTAAGTTAAAGTAGAAGACACTTCTCAGCAGAGTTCTCTTAAGATGTTGTGAATAGCATCAGGAAAGAAAGTTTGTTTTTTAACTGTGTTAAATACAAACAGATCCAATAAAATAAACATGCCCAGGGCTATGTCTTAATTTTTTAACATATCAATAAAGAGACTTTAAAACACATAAACACCCTCTCCCCTCCAAATTTTCTTCTTCTTTCCAGGAAAATCTCAGTTTGGAATCATAGGAAGCACTTACTAGGTTGATTTATTGTAAAAACCAAGATCCTAATAAAACTCAGAAGATCTCTGTTAACCCAAAGAGACTATTGATGTGGCTTGGGTATTTGGTTATGCTCACAAAAGTTTCCCAATAATTATTTATTTTCATTGGCTTAGATGTGGTACTGTACCTAAGTTAAGGCACTTGTCCCTCAGAGAGAAAAGAGACCAAGCTAGAGAAAATCGTGGGTGTGGTAGGGAAAGCCTTTTCCCAGGATCCCTGCAAAAAAGGTCTTATATTTTATTCTGTAAGATGTCCTTAATTTTTGTTCAGCTATAAATGTTCATATATTGAAATGTGTCTAGGAAGTCTTACTGTCTAAACCACTGAAACTTCAAATTTACTTTAGAGTTTTGTTTTGGGATATGTCATTTCGGTTTTAAAATACATCTTTGTTATAGTATTATTTTAGATCTTTTTTCTTTTCTGTAGTGGGGAGTTTATAGGGGTAGACTGTATATTTTATAAACCAGATGTTTCAGAGGAACATTATTCAATTGGCCTACCTTAGTATATGTAACACTTCCCCTAAAAAGCTCAGAGTTCAAAGGCACGGTTAGTTGTCTAGTATATCCTCCCAGCCTCAACAACCAGACCTAAGAAGGAAGTGAAGGATTCATCTTTCCTACTTTCCTGGGGCCACACAGCCATCAGCAGTTGTTATGTTTGTGGAAAGAGTGTGGGCCCTGAGCTGGGTGGGAGAAGCAGGCTGATTTCATTGCTGGGTTGGCTTAGGGCTGCACCCAGCTCAGCTCACATGGCTAATTAAGGGTTTTGTGGCGGTCGAAGGTTGAGGGCTGACCCAGCCGGCAGTCCCCTCGGTCTGTCATTTCTCACTGTGCTTTGTTCAGAAACTACAGGGATTCGGTTTCCCATTTGCACAGCAGCATCCAGCCTTTGCTTTTCTGTTTCTTCCGGCTTTTAAATGTTCTCATATTAACCATCTAGAGAGAGGCTTCCTGCGGGAGATTCTTCCTCTCACCTGCCTTTGCTTTCCTTGATTTGATGAAATTTACAACTTCTTTCTCTCTTCCATTATCTTTCAGCCAAAAGAGTGAAAAGAAATACTGATACTTGCCTCTAGTGATATTTCTACTCCAATTTTTAAAATTGTTTTTTCTAATATTATTATTCTAGTTATTTGGTAACCTACCTCAATTTAGTCACTCAATAGTTATTGTGGCTCTGCTTTAACCCCAGGACATTTGACTCTTTTTTTCCCCAGCAGCTTCAACTCTATGAGGAAGAGGAGACAGGGCTGGGCTTGCTGCTCAGCTGGCTGTCCTGGCCAGTGCCCTCCCTCTTACTCTGCAGTCTGTATAGGAATTGCATCCATTCAGCCAGCCACTCTAACAACAAAATATGGCCAGAACTAGAGAGTAACCTTGACAAAGTTTTTGAACTCTTCAGAGGGAAAAATGTTATTTATTCCATTATCATGTTAAAAATCAGTAAACTTATATTTAATAATGTACTTTTGCATTTGTACAGCTCTTTTACGTTTTTTAAAGGTCTGAATTCTATTCCTTATTTCCAAATACAGGAAACAGAAACACTTATCTTAATTTCTGATGCCTTATCTATAAAAATCTTTTAGCTTGACCCATAAAAACATGTTTTAGTATCTCCTTTAAAACCCTGGAGCATTCCTGGAAAAATAGACTAATAAAAACTTTCTCCTTTTCCCAGTTTAACTTTTGAAGCATGTTTGAATTTTATTTTCAGAGTAAAACATTATTTTTAATGTTTATGTACTTCTATTTGCAATACTGTCTTGACAACACCATCTGAGCTATCAGGCCCCAAAAATGAAATAAAGTTTGGAGTTTGGGGTTATGTCTCCCACCCTCCTCCTCTGTGATGTGTGGAAGAGGCAGTGGAGTGGTATTGCGTGAGAAACTGGCCTGGTTTAACTTTCTGCGTTTTTGTGTTTTCTCAGATATGATTTTTCTTCAGGGAACAGAGGTCATATTTAAAGTGGCTTTAAGTCTGTTGGGAAGCCATAAGCCCTTGATTCTGCAGCATGAAAACCTAGAAACCATAGTTGACTTTATAAAAAACACGCTACCCAACCTGGGCTTGGTACAGATGGAAAAGACCATCAATCAGGTATGAGTCAGTCCAAACTTTGCAAACGCTTAAGCCACCCTCGACATGTAGAAACTTAAATCTCTCTTGAGCAGGAACTGTTTCCACTTTGTGTTCTGAACAGCATTCTGCACGATGCCTGGCATGGAGAGGCATATGCATGGAATGATCGTGAGTGTGTGTGTTGTGCGTGTCGTGGCGAAATGCCACCTAGGAAACATGGTGGCAATGCTTAGGTCTAAAAACCAGCACAAGTTATCTGTGGTTTCTTACATTTAAGAGACTTCGGCTCTAGTAGCTTGTTCTTTTGAAATAAATATACTAATGTAGCATCGGGTTTTATACATTGAGTGCTTTGATTTTTTTGTTGTGTGTTAAATGGTATTAATTAGAATTTTCTCAAAATAATTCTTTGATAACAAAGTTATGATAGGGAACATATATTCGATGAATTTGTTTTGTGATTTTTTTTTTTTCTGAATTCAGTTCGATATCTGTGGCTTCAGCACCTCTGGTTTCAGTATACAATAGAACCATTACCCTCTGACATGTTAAAGGCTGGGAGGTGAGTTTTACTAGGAATTACAGCTAGACTAGATGGTGAAAATGCCCTGGGCTGGTCATGGGAGCAGATTTTCATCCTGTACAGTATAAGGAGGAACCTTCTAGTAATGGCTGCTGATGATGGAGAACTACACTGCTTAGCAGAGAAAGGGGCACCATTGGAAGTGTCCAGAGGCCGGGTAGCTATGAAAGCACTGGAAGGGATTTCATCATCATTGAGTCACTGCAGAGTCAGCAGTCAGGCCTCTTGTACGCCTGGAACCCGCACCAGATAGTCGTGTGCCGCTTACCAATAGTGATAAGTTCTGAAAAATGCATCATTAGGTGATTTCATCATTGTGCAAACATCATGAAGTATACTTAAACCCAAGTGGTGTAGCCTACTACACACCTAGACAAGTTGTTCCTAGGCCCTACAAATCTGTACAGCATGTGACTGTACTGAACACTGTCGGTAATTGTAACACAAGAGGAACTATTTGTGTATCTAAACATAACTAAACATAGAAAAGGTACAATAAAAACATGGTAGTATAATCTTATGGGACTACCATTATATACACAGTCCACCATTGACCAAAGTGTTGTAACGCAACACACAACTGTGTAATGAAAACATAGAGCAATTGGGTAAAAAAAGAATGGTAAAATAAAGCTATTTTTGAAAAAAATCCCTACTGTGGAGATTTCTGGTAGTCCTAACAGAATCCATGATTCCAGTGGATTGCATCCAAATGCAGTGTTTGCGATTTTCATTTGCTGCCGCACCTTCGGTGTTAGGCACAGAAAAAGATGCAAGTCTGGCCTGCAAAAAAAGAGAAGGTTTCATACCAGTTGTTACCTTTGGATTTCTTTTTGCACATTGCATATGCCTTTATGAAAGAGCAATTTTTTTTCCATTGTGCATGCATCTTTAAGTGATAGCCTCTCCATCTCCTTTCCTTCCCTGGCACATTATTCTTGATGTGGATAGCTTTGGCTTGTTGCGGCCTTGCTCTTTGCCAGGCTGGGTGGGCACTAGATATACACATGATCCCACTCAGTCATGGCCGCACTCCTGAGAGGCTATAAAGTGATTCACTAACTGACCCACAGCCACTCTGCTGCAAAGTAGAAAGGTGGGGATTCAAACTCAAGTCCCTCTCACCTCAGAGTGATTTCACAGGTCTCCTGCACTGCCGAGCGCCTCTCTGCAGGTCATTTAATTTGGAGTTTTTCGCTACTAGCATTAGTAGGGAAGTCAGCGAATACCGACTTCTCCACCCTTTTGATTCTTGGATTTCTGGCATTTTCATTCATTCTTTCAGACATTCCCTTCTTATAGCTTTTGTTGCATGTACTTAGTTTTACAGCTACTAGTGCAGACCCCGAGAGCCTTGGTTGCCTAGACTGAGAGCTGTTTCCAGTGCCCAGCATGTCACCTTGCTTCCAGCCCCCGGCCATCCCAGCTGACATTGTTTACCTCCTGAGTATTGAGCACCAGAAAAAAACCCCATTTTCTCCAAAAAAACAAAAAATAAAACTTACTGAGTATACTTAGGATACGTCAGGTGTTCTTTCAGTGCTGGAAGGGTGGAAACGGACGCAGCATGGGAAGAGAACAGCTGTGTGTACCTGAATTGTGTCAGGCCACCATTTGGTTATTTGGAAGTTGCCATTCGTTGTTCCACTGACTTTTTTTTTTTTTTTTTTTTAGACTGAGTCTTGCTCTGCTGCCCAGGCTGGAGTGCAGGGTGCGATCTCAGCTCACTGCAACCTCTGTCTCCTGAGCTCAAGCATTCTCGTGCCTCAGCTTCCTGAGTAGCTGGGATTATAGGTGTGCACCACCATGGTCAGCTAATTTTTGTATTTTAGTAGAGACAGGGTGCTGTAGTCTTAAATTCTACACAGAAAGCAGACTCGGGGTGCAGCATGATTCCTCTGCAGCCTTAGGGAACCCCAGGCCCGAATCTTGGGGGTCTTCAGAGTAGTAGTAAGGGATGCTTCCATTGCAAATGGTGGAGCATCCTACCCTGTGTACAGATGGGCTGGGGCGGAAGGTGAGGGCATCTGGGTGGTCCTCTGTGATAGCTGTGGCTCCATTTCATTAAATGCCCTCCCTATATAGATAGTCTCAGCCTGAGCAACTGGGACACACCCTGGATCCTGGATGGAAGAGAAGGTGGCTAAGGACAGGACTCTGGAGCTCTGGCTCAATGTGGACAGGCTGGAAACAGCCAGGGAGGGCAATTCTAAAGGTGACAGAGTCCAGGGCAGAAGACCAAGGGCGTCTGAAGCCTTTGTGGCAGTGTACTTACCGAAGGAACTGTCCAATGAATAAACCATAAATGTCTTCTGACCCAAGAAGGGAAACTTGAAATAATTAGAAACAAAGGAAAGGGAGGCTGGTGTTGTAGTCTTGTCACAGTGGGTGCCGTGTGGCTGTGAAGCCTCAGCTCAGTTTAAGGAAGAAGAGGAAGGGTGGTTTTGGGAAGCAGGGTAAAATAGCCTATTTTCAGCATTCTTTAGGCTCCACTCAGAGCACGGCCTCAGCCCAGCATTGTCATATCATGTCAGAGCTTGTTAGAAACGCAGCATCTGGGGCCCCACCCCAGACCTGCTGAATCAGAATCTGCATTTTAGCGAGATCCCAGGGGATTCACATGCACACAAACAGCTGAGAAACCCTGCTGTGGGCAACTCTGAGAGCAACACCATGAACAGAGGAATCCCTGTTCCCGTTGAGCCTACAGGTTAGAAAACAGGGTTCCTGTGTTCAGAAGACACACCTCAAAATCAGGGGCAGAGGTGCCTCTTCTGCCTGTGGGGGAACCGTCACTTCTTAGGCAAGTTTGTACCATGGAAAAGGAGTTGTTTTGTAAAGGAACAAGCTGGTGCCATCCGAGGAGGGTGGGGTGTGGCATGGCGGGGAGAAGTGGTTTACCACTGGCATTCTTGAAAATCGCTCACATGTGGTGGTAATAACAAGCAGACGGACTTTTAGTGGGTTTTATTATTATTTTTGTAATTCACTACAGACAGCGCGCCCTCGTGATACCGGGCTGCTTGCTCCCACTCTGCAGCCTTGGTATGACAATGGGACCAGCAGGTTAGAGGCCAGGGGTTAAGAAGACGGAAGCTCTGTGGCAAGTTCTGCAAACCATCGGGGTTCATGACTTTATTAATCAGTGTCTGTGGACAGTGAAGAGAAATGCTGAGTCTGTAATAGCAAATGAGCCAAGAACATACACAATTCACCAAAGAGGAGACATCCAGTAAACAAGTATCTGGGAAAATATTTGGCTTTGTGTGTAATTTAAACTCATGTAACATATAATGCTTGACCCTACTAGATCAACAGAAAGATATTTCTTAATGCCAGTACCCAGCCCCGAGGGTAAACTGTATCCAGAACATTAGCATGTGGCAGTGCACATTGCTTATTCGCTCTTGGGAGGCAATTTGGCGATACATATCCCAAGCCAGTAAAATATTCATACCCTTTGACTCAGTCATCCCATTTCTTGGAATGTATCCTCAGGAAATTATCCAAAATATGAGGGAAGCCATATGTATAAGGATATTCTCCTAGACTTGTCATTTATAATAACAGAAACTTGGAAGTAACTAGATGTCTAACACTTGATGACTGGATTAATATGGGTATGGTATGTTAAGCTGGTAGAATACCCATGAAGCCAGTTTTTTATGGCAACATGAAAAAGCTCTTATTTGATACAATGTTTAAAGGAGAAGTGGAATAGGAAATTTTATGTTGGTTATGTTTATAACTAGAAAGACATTCTTTTAGGAAAGATTAAAGGAAATATAACTAGATGTAAAAGTTGTATTTGGTAGTTTTTTATTTTTCAAGCTTCCTATAATGTAGCTCTAGTGCTTCAGTAACTCAAAATAGTTTTATCTTTTCAGCAAAACATCAAAAATGTGGAAATAGGTTATTCCTACTTTGGCAAGCAGAAAAGAAATTTCCGTCAGTACCAAAATTCTGGAACTTGCCTGAAAACCTTGAAGAACCTGAGAGCCAGTATGATGGGAAGGCTCTAGCTCCCCGGTAATTACAACCTAGTGGAATTGCTCTGAGATGGACCGGGAAGAAAGAAGATGAGAGCCAGTCCCCCTTGCAGAGGGGCCGGGTACCTGGCAGCCTTATGTAGTGACCGGTGCTCAGGGAATGGCTTAGGCAGGACCCCGGGGAAGGCGGGTGCTGCACCTGTCCAGCCTCAGGAGCGACTCAGACAAGATAGGAAAACACCTTAAAGTGTATGTGTCCTGTTTTCCCATCAACACCTAGTTTTTGTCTTTTTTATTTCCTCTGAGACAACATACCAAAGGATTAGGTTTTTGATGTGAGGCCTTCCTGCTCTTCTTCTGGCTGAACACTGCTTCTGGCAGTGGATCACTTGTGCCCTCTAAGTGTGCAGGGACAGGCACCCCCCCCCCATCTTCTTTTCTTTCCCCAAGTAATTAGCCCAAGGGCTGAAAGTGACGTTCAGTGACCAAGGTTCTCCTTTGACCACCAGTCTCGTACTGCCATGGTTTGGGATAAATTCGGGGGCATAACTGCAGAATGAAGGGCCGTAAGAGTCTTGGCAGTCAGGAGATCATCAGGCAATTAAGCAAAGATGATTGCGACCTGGGGTGGTTCCTGGAGATTAATGGAGGCCTGGAAGAGTTTATGGCTTTGGGCACAGCTGACAGCCATTAACTTAACACCGAACATCCATCTGTAGGAAAGACCAGAGGTTTTGTTCCTAGGCTTTCCAGGTTAGGAGATCATTTAAAAATAAATCTTTGTGGAAGAAAAAAAGTAATTGTGTACATGATATTCATTCAGCACAATATTTATAATTATACATGAGTGCCAAACAATCTCAGTTTTAACATTTGCGGTTTTTACTGTTCAGACTATTCAGAAGTTCCATGATGTGGCATCCATTGATGACGGCTTGGCTGAGGTTGAAATGTGAGGGGTTTGTGGCAGGTGTGTGGAAGCAGATCCCTTAGCTATGAGAGCGCCTGCCCAACCTACCAGGCATGTGCTGGGAGCATCCATGAGTTGCCTTGTTTAATTCTCGCAGCTGTCCTGGGAGGTGGCTGCCATGTGCCCCAGGTGGGAGGCCAGGAACTGTGGCTGAGAGGTTAAGTAGCTAGCTCAAGTCATTCACAGAGTCGCCAGTAAAGCCCTGATTTTAAGGCTGACTCAAAGCCTCTGAGCCAGTTACCTCGGTTGTCAAATGGAGATAATAATCCCTGCTGACCTCGCTGTGGCTCTGAGGGACAAAAGAGAATCAGTTCAATCCGGTAAACAATTCTCTCTCTCCCGCCTACGCTCCTCACACACATGCACACACACGCCACAGATAGAATGGATTTTAGTTTTTAGACATCAAATGACTTTTGTGCCTTATTGGTATTATCCACTGAATTAAATCAAAAACAGCAAGCTGAAAAATTAGTCTCAAGGAAGACAAAATAGGATTGTTGGGAATGGTGAGAAAGTAAACCTGGTTTTTGAAAATTGATTCCAGGGAAGCTAGGCTAGCTTGAATGCTAATAGGGTGCCATCAGAAGAGGGAGTTTTACACGGATTTTTAAAAACATTGGAGCAGCTTAAAGAAATGCAGTAGAGAGGCAGTTTCTGCCCTTTTAAAGTCTGACTTCATGCTCTGAATGTGTGTCCTGATCTTGCAGGGTTGTTTTTTTTTTAAGATGGTCCCAGCTTGACTGCATTCTCAGATCCATCAGATAAACGCTGGGGCTTCACTGCTGTGCTGAGAGCCCCCAGCCCCTGGGGTTCTCTTTCAGAAACAACTGGAAAGAAAGGAAATGCCTTGGGCAGCAGCAGCTGTCTTCTGACTCCCCTTTCCGCCCTGCTTTCCTTACCAAGAGAAAGTACAGACATGAACAGCTTGAGTCACTTGTGCACTTTGGGGTTGTTTTTCACACGTGTGGTGTTTTCATCACCATTACTATTGTGGGAAAGAAGACAGCTCAGGCCTTGTTCCGTATTCACTCATCAGTGTGGGTGACATTTGGGTTTTGGCTCATTTCTGCATATTTGTGTGCAAAGGAGAGTTTTTTAGTAAACAGTCCGATTACTTAGCTGTTCTTGTAACTCTGAAAACCCAACTGAACTATAATTAAACTTTGACTCGGTGACTGTGCAAATAGGGCTACAATTCTTTTGTTTCTTTTCTCCTTTTAACCAACAGTTGATGTATCTAACATCACAGAATTTTCGGCAAAACGAAGTCGTGAAATAAGAACCAAAAATACATTTTTATTAGTTTTTTAAAATGAGAGATTTTTTTTTTTGGCTTTTTGAAGATGAGTATCAAAAACCTGCACTTAATGTTACCTTCAAATTATTTCTAGATGTTTCTTATATCCTTTTGTCCCAAGTAAAATTATTACCTTCTCAGCACATAGTTTTTCTTATCACTTTTAGTACCAAGTGTAGAGCGAAGCATAAAGGAGACGCTTCACAGGTGTGCCCTGACGTGACGGCAGGCACCTGCCTATACGTGTGGGGTTTTTCTCCATTTTAGTACCTGATGACTTTTCTTTCTATAACAGGTATTTGAGATGGACATTGCTAAACAGTTGCAAGCTTACGAAGTTGAGTACCATGTGCTTCAAGAAGAACTGATCGATTCCTCCCCTCTCAGTGACAACCAAAGAATGGATAAATTAGAGAAAACCAACAGCAGCTTACGCAAACAGAACCTTGACCTCCTTGAACAGTTGCAGGTAGAGCATGTTTATAAAGCACCTTCCTGAATCACAGATATAATATGGTAGTTCATTAACTCACCAAAGGCAACAGCAGGCTGGGCTTTCCCATGACCAGAGGACCTTTCCCACCCTGATCAGTTTATAGTTGCGATCAAAGGTATCCCGGGAGAATGGGTCCTTTTCATTATGGAGCAGACAGATTGTCCTCTGCTGAGGTCAGACAGACCCAGAGCTTTCTGAGAGTCTGTTTCTGCACTGAACTCTTTTAGGAGACAGGCCCAGAGATGAACTTGGATTCAGGGTGCTATGGCCCATTAGCTGAATGCCAGCAGTTGTCATTACTCAAAGAGAATCTAAGAGCTTTAACTTCAATGAGCAAAACCAGCTAGGTCCAGAGGGACAGTAAAGGAGGAAGGTAACACAGAAATATGCATAACAAACCGGAGTAGATCATAATTCTTTGTGAGTCCTTGGTGCATATACAAAGACTTGATGCATGAAGGTCTCACTTCTCCCCTCTAGAAGCTTCCATTTCAACATGGATACACTCAGGTGCTGACATACAGAAGAAAGACCAGTTGAGACTGTGCACGAGGGAGAGCAAGCAGTGCAAGTGCTGAGGTGCAGCATGGAGATTGGAGCTGGCCAGGTCCCGTGTCATCCCCCTACCCACCCATCACCCAGGCACACTGCCACAAAGAACACCTAACTGTGGAGTGCAGTTCTCTTGTCAATCACATGGCATACAGCAACCATATGTTCTTTTTTTTTTTTTTTTTT